GGTGGGAAACTATTTTTTGCAACTTTATTGTATTTAAAGTTTTGAGGGATAAACCTCTTAAACTTCTCCAAGTAGAAATATATGTAAACAAAACAAAAGCAATTTTCAATTTTTTTTGTAGTTTATTGCACTTTTTTGCAATTTATGTAATTACTATGGACTTAATGCATACATATTATTAAAATATGGGCTATAACAGTTGTATAGCAACTTGAAATGCTCCCACAAATGGCACTAAAGCATGTAAAAAAAAAAAATATATATATATATATATAAGCTCTGGTGGACTTGGTTCTATAATAGGTCTTAAAGGGTTAAATAAATATCATCGAATAATCGAGATCTCAATTTCAGTGAAAATAATCGTGATTATCATTTTTGCCATAATCGAGCAGCCCTATACACAACTGTACTTTACCACAACTGTACTTCATTACAACTGTACTTCATTACAACTGTACTGTACACAACTGTACACAACTGTACTTCATTACAACTGTACTGTGAACTCAGTACTGTAGTACATTTCCCAGACTGGTTACTCTGCAGCACTGATGATACACACGTAAACACTGCAGCCGTTCACACTCGCAGACACACAAACAGGCTGTGTGTGTAGCTCCGCCCCCGTGACCTCCCCCCAACCTCCATCACAGAGACACACTGTTCAGTGTGGCCGGACAGTCGTCCCTCACACACACTCACACACACACTCGCATGATGGCTGCTGTCTCTCCTCCAACGCCCCGATCCTTCATCGCCCTCCTCGTCCTCCTGTCAGGTGAGAAGCACACACTCTGACATCAGCGTGACATCACAGCACAGGTCCTGACTCGTGGGTGTGACAGCGGCGGTCAGGTCTGTTTGTATGGCGTGAATGACGCTTCGTGGCTTCCTGTCTCTTTGTCTGTGTGAGCTCGTCTGTTCTCGTGGTCGTCTCCTGCTGGTCGACTGTTTCTCTTCTATGAAGGATTCAAAGTTTACCCAGCACAGAGCGCCGGTCAGCTACAGGAAGTCAGTACTGCGTGTTTCCTGAATCCCGCTTTTTTTATTCGATCCTTCGCTCTTCTTGGTCTTATGTCACATCACAGCATCTCGTGTGTTTACATGTGCAAACGTCATGTTTGTGTGTTTGTGCTGCAGGTGGACGGTTTTCGTCCGTTTCCTCTTTTAAAGTAATGGAAGGGGGCGTGGCCTCTCTGTCCTGCCAGTACTCCGTGCAGCGTTTCGGGCTCAGCCGGGTCTGCTGGGGTCGCGGCTGCGGGACCTTCTGGTGCAGCAACATCCTGGTGCAGACCGACGAGAACGGCGCCGTCACACAGGTGTGATTACATCACAGAGGTCAGATTACATCACAGAGTCACAGAGGTCAGGCATAACGTTGAGAACTTGATTATCTGGGGTTACCTGGCGCTCCTGTAAGCTCCTCCCTGTTTATTCTTCTGTTGAATTCATGCTCCTCCCCCTGGTTGTATAACCCTGGTCCTGGCTGCAGGTGGAGGACCGCTACCAGCTGACGGGGGACATCATGGACGGGCAGATGGACCTGGACATCCTGAACGTGAGGCGGACAGACAGCGGGCCGTACTGCTGCAGGGTGGACATCAACGGGCTCTTCAACGACCAGAAGATGATCATGAACCTGAGAGTGGTCAAAGGTGAGCGACTGGTTTTATTTCTGAGGTTCTCCAGAGTTTGGTGATTCAATGTTTGTCCCTCTCAGCTCCGGTCTCGGCGCTCGTCCCCAGCTCTCCTCCTCCAACAACAACAGCGAGCACAACGACGGAGCTCACGACTGAACGAGTGACGGAGTCACCGACCTCCACAGGTGTGACGACAGGTGAGGTGAACTGTCTCTGTTAACTCTTCTCTGTGATAGACGTCCACTCCAGGTCTCTGGTCTCTGTCTCGTTTAGCCAACTGGAAAACTCTGCTGTCGTCTCAGCTGGACCTTCTGAGGAGAAACTCCACCCTGCTGCACGCTGACACCCTCACTGTGAGTAAGCACCACCCTCGCCATTACCTGCCATCTTAGGCCACGACGTGTTCGGGATTGTACAGCCACTAGCTCATAGCTTAGCTTAGCATGGAGGCTGGAAACAGGGCAAACAGGTGAGACCAAAGCGGAGCACGTTGGAGCAAACAAACACCAGGAGCTCGTGCGTACACCACAGTGTTGAGAGTCAGGGTGAGGACGTCCGTCCCACAGTTACCGCTGGGAACAAACTGGGTCATCAGCAGATCCCAGCTCAGCAGCATGAATGGATGAAACCTCACCGACCTTCTGGTTAGTGGCTGCCTGCTCTGCTGCCTGAGCTACAGCCACTTTAAGAGTTCATGTCCTAAATTAACCGTTTCAGCCTCGGACCTTTGTTAGCCAGCTCCAAGCGAAACTGTCCGTGCTGCAGTCTGATGAATCCTCTCCACCTGCAGGTGGAGGACGCTCTGCCCTCCCTCTCCCTTCAGATCAACGTTCCCGTCCTCTCTCTCTCCGTCAGCGTGTTGATGGTCCTCGCCGCAGTGTTCCTCTTCCTGGCCTTCAGACGTACGTCCTCCATGTCTCTGCAGCACGTTTGCACACAGACACAAAGATGAGGTTCATTTTTTGTTTTCTGCTGCAGGTGGAATCTACAGACGAGCCTTAAAGCCCGGCTGGTGAGTTCAGCACAGGAAGCAAACAGCACGCTAACACGCTGATGTCACACAGCGACAGCTAATCACAGCCAGCCAGCTTACTCTCACACCTGAAACAAAGCACGCAGAAAGAAACACAGACCACCTCCACAACATGAATCAGAGTTATTACTGCAGTGCTGAGGCTCGCTCTGGCAGTAACTCGGCTGTTTGTAACTCTGCAGCTTCTCCTCTGAAGAACCTCCTCACATCATCTACGAGATCCGCATGAGGAGGCCGGTGCAGGAGAACATCTACACTCTGGACTAACAGAGGAACCGGAGCGGCATTCGTGCAGGGAGGACGCTGGTGACGTTTCTGTTTACACTGTTATTAGAAACACTGTGATGAGCTCAGCACTGAGAGCGTGTTTAATGATTTTTGGTTCCTGCGTTATCTCTGCTCGTTGTTCATGTCTGTTCTACTTTCTCTTTACATTTGTGACAGAAAAAATACAGAGGCTGATGAATGTGAGATGTTGTGGTTAAATCTCAGTGGCCTCCATCTGTGATCTCAATAATAAAGCTGTATGTGTGGAAGTCTGAGAGCCAAATAAAAGTTCTGTCTCAGTTCTTAGCTATTCTTTTTTTTATAAAAAAAACAATAATCTGGGTGTCCCAACCTCTAACAAAAACGTGGGTTAAAGCGAAAAAGTTACGGCCTCCCCGTCGGGGAATCACTGCACTAAACCGTCTCCCATTCATTCACTACAGATGTAACATATTATTGGCCACTGTGGTCTCCCGGCGCTGTTTCGGCATTTTTAAAACTTTCCACCTCCAGAGAAGAAGTCAGACCTCAGCGCTGAGTGCTCATTAACCACAGGTAAGTAAGGTTACCTGAGTAAACCTGCAGCATAAATACGCAGCTGTGTTTTGAAGGTTTATGACAGCTGGATTCATGTTTAGTTAAACAGTTTGTTGCTGTGTTAATCATGAATGAACGGCAGCTTTCAATACTCCGTGTGTGTAAATCAGCTGAGTGGGTTTCTGACAGAGTTATGTTGGCAACATTAAACGTGTGTGTGTTGTTTTCATGTTGATAATACACACACACACACACACACACACACACACACACACACGGCTCCACCTCTAACCCAAACCTCTTTTTAAGCATTTCTGCAGCTGGGTAATATCCATTGATTATTTAAAATTACATTGTAAATTGCAACTAACAACAACAACCCGCTTCTACAGTAGCTAACATGTTCGTGGATGATGACAACCAATCAGACACCACGTCAGTTATGGAGGAGACAAGCAATGAAGCAGTTGAAGCTACTACAGTACTCGTAAGTGTTCCGTGTTCTTCAAGTAAAACAGATGCATCAACCCAGACTGAGATAAGTAAGTCAGACGTAGCGGCACAGCAGCAGTCTGACGTGCACTTTCCAGTCTCAGCGGACCACACCTACACAAGCAGACAGGAGACTGAACTGGACAAACAAGTAGACGTGGATGATGGGAACTCCCAGGATTTGTTCTTGTCATTTGATGAATCTATTGAACCAGTGAACTGAAGAAGCTTCTCGGATGAGAGGTGAAACGTCTTCAAGCAACTTAAAGAAGTCCAGACGCTTTTCTTTGCAAGCTCCTTTGACCTCCAGCTCTCGAGTCTCAGACTTCAAATACCGCACATACAAACACAAGACTTCTTCTAGTTTATGAGCCACAGTTAAAACAATTACACAAGCGGTGTATGAAGTGTGGCTCCCCGATTGTACAAGAAGAAATCAAAGAGCTTCAAAATGAAGGATCACAGTTGACTCTGGAGCTCAGTACAGATGGCAGTCTCAGCCTACTTTGAGTGGCACCAAAGGACAAGGAAACCTGCTTTTAACAGCATCAGTTTTTTAGTGGCATTCATTTTGCTAAATTTTGTAGTAACTTGAACCTAAGTGAAGACACATACACGTCATTGAGAAAGAGATTTGTGTTTCCTGTTATTGAGAAAATGTGGATAAAAGAGCAAAAGTAGTGAGCTAAAAGCCATGAAATCACAGGAAGAAGTTGTTGTCTGTGGAGATGGCAGGTGTGATTCTCCTGGACACTCAGCCAAATACTCTACAAACACCTACACCCTACCTCTCACCCAAGTTTCAAATTCTAATGCCACTGAAATCAAAGGATTTAAAGAAGCTATAAAAACCAGAGAGGAAAATAAAGTGTCTCAATCCGTCATCAGTGCGCATGTGTTTTCAATGTTGAGTGGTAGTATGATGCAAACAGTGTGTTAGTTGTGTTTCACTTCTGTAGCCTGTGTGCATCGCACTGCTAAATGTGTTGTGTGTTTAGAGTTTTGCTAAATGGGAGATTCAGACTTACAAATGGTGTCCTGACCAGATGAATAGTGTTTACGATTTTGGCAGATCCATTTGATGAAGGAGTTTTCATAGTTGACAGTCATACCCAGGGAGCGCTCCGATCCCTCCTGTTGAAGCTCGATCGATTAAAGACACGTGTGCACCTGTGAGGGAGCGGAGCCTCAGGCTGCAGGAGGAGGTGCAGGGAGAGTACGTCCTGGACTGTGTCTTCTGGAGAACGATGACTGGTCTCTCTACTCTACTGCAGCACTCAGAGCACGTCATACACCTGTGTGTGTTTAAAGTGTTTCATATTCACACTCAGGCGGACATTTACGCCTGGAGAAGGAAAGGCAGAAGATTATTGGACTGTGGAAATGATGCCATTATCGATTATAACAGCACGGCGAAACAAAACAGCTGTTTCCGCCCGGTTTCGAACCGGGGACCTTTCGCGTGTGAGGCGAACGTGATAACCACTACACTACGGAAACTGTGCAGCTTCCTGGTCGCACACAGACACCGATAGGCTGGGCCGTGGCCCGTTATCTGTGACCTGATGAGGGTTGCATTAACATAACTGTGTTTACACATCACTGTGAGCAGGTTTCCGTAGTGTAGTGGTTATCACGTTCGCCTAACACGCGAAAGGTCCCCGGTTCGAAACCGGGCGGAAACAGTAATGACTTCTTTTTCTTTTCCTATCTTGTAGAAGAAGAAATGCTAGCTAACAGCAGAGCCGTTAGCCGTGTGCGTAGTTTGAACGAGGCACGCGCAATCAAAGTGTGCACGCGCAATCAACCCAAAACGTTTCAGTGGGACAGACGTGTCACATGTTCCAGGGAACCTATCGCCACTGGTGTTTCTTACTGCTGCTTTCACTTCCGTTTACGTGAGTCAGTAAACGTTAAACAACTACTCACGAGGCTGGTCCACGCGGACCAGTTAATGATACGAAACGTGTGTATGAATAAAAGCAAACGCCTGTTTCCGCCCGGTTTCGAACCGGGGACCTTTCGCGTGTGAGGCGAACGTGATAACCACTACACTACGGAAACCTCTGCAAGGCTGCTCACGGTGTGCATAGAGGAACCCGGGCACATGCCTGTCTGCAGCTTGGAGCTGCTTTACGAAATATGATTGTAGTACAGCTGCTCTGCGTGTGCACAGGGACTGACTCACACACAAAGATCACAGCGAAACCAGAGGCTGGAATCCCTGCACCAACATTAAACATCTTCATCAGCTGAACTGTTTGTGCCCATCAGAATCACTGTCGTGACAGATGTGTGGCACTGCAGGAGCGCAGGCCTCATAAGCCCACAAGCTCACGAGGACTGCATGGAGGATTCTGTGTACTGTAATTCATTATTATCAGGAAGTCCTAAAAACTCCCTGAAAAGCCTTCAGCTGATCCAAAATGCTGCAGCAAGAGTCCTGACAGGGACTAGAAAGAGAGCAGATTTCTCCTGTTTTGGCTTCCTGTTAAATCCAGAATTCAAAATCCTGCTCCTCACATACAAGGTCTTAAATAATCAGGCCCCATCTTATCTTAATGACCTTGTAGTACCATATCACCCTATTAGAGCACTTCGCTCTCGCTCTGCAGGCCTACTTGTTGTTCCTAGAGTATTTAAAAGTAGAATGGGAGGCAGAGCCTTCAGTTTTCAGGCCCCTCTTCTGTGGAACCAGCTTCCAGTTTGGATTCAGGAGACAGACACTATCTCTACTTTCAAGATCAGGCTTCAAACTTTCCTTTTTGCTAAAGCATATAGTTAGGGCTGGACCAGGTGACCCTGAATCCTCCCTTAGTTATGCTGCAATAGACGTAGGCTGCCGGGGATTCCCATGATGCATGTGGTTTTTCCTTTCCAGTCACCTTTCTCACTCACTATGTTTAACAGACCTCTCTGCATTGAATCATATCTGTTATTAACCTCTGTCTCTCTTCCACAGCATGTCTGTATCCTGTCTTCCTTCTCTCATCCCCAACTGGTCGCAGCAGATGGCCCCGCCCCTCCAGGTTTCTTCCTGTTAAAAGGGAGTTTTTCCTTCCCACTGTCACCAAAGTGCGTGTTCATAGGGGGTCATATGATTGTTGGGCTTTTCTCTGTATGTATTATTGTAGGAGCTACCGTACAATATAAACAATATAAACAACAGTTTATATTGTTTATATCGCCTTGTGGCGACTGTTGTTGTGCTTTGGCGCTGTGCAAATAAAATAAAATCGAATTGAATTCAGTGTCGACTTTTCCTTCATGATGTAGAAAGCTCGGGTTGTGTTTGGTTTGTGGACTTGCCTCGTTTCTGGCCGAGTGTGTTCTTTGGGAAACATATTTTCTGTGTCACCGTGTTAGACCTCCTTCTCTGCTCTCCATCTTCACGGGTGGAGCAGTGGTTCCTTATCTCTCTGTTAGAGGGACCACGGGATTCGTCCCATCACTTGGGATATTTGCATCCATGTTTCACTGTAAGCTGATATTACAGTTCTCTCTTTTAATTACAGAAATATGTCAGTATTTGTGCTATAATATATGTTATGTTGCCACCATTATACATTTCTAACTTTCCCCTGCCTTATCCTGTATCAGTTTGTTACGTACTAGCTTACTTTACAGCTAACAGCTAAATAATTAGCACTAAGGACATGCACATAAACATCCAAACAACATGATTTACTTTTACTCCTGCAGATGAAAGTGAAAGCAGGACTCTGAACTTCATGTGTCTGCAGTGCAGATACTTTCACTCACACACACACACACACACACACACACTCTCACTCCGGTCTGACCTGCTATCCCAGTCCTTGCTGTTACATCACAAACAGCAGAAAGTTCCTTATATGGGCGTCAGGATGTCCGCTGCAGCAGCAGGAAGCGCCATTTTTGGCTTTCAGCAGCACCGGGATTTTCCTGCAGGGTGCTGCGGTCACACACACACACAGGGAGGATTTAATGGCAGCGTTCAGTGAAGCTGTCACTGTTTAAGCTTCTGATTCAACCTTTGAACTCTGACCTTTGTCGGATCCACTCAGACTGACAGGCGCTACAAACCTGAGTGAGAATCCCTCGAACAGTGACAGCAGGTTTTGCCTCAGAAACGTTTACGCCACACGTAGCTGAGGGTTTCTGACTTTTGTCTCATGTCACGTGACCTCCATCAGCTGATGTGACACACACACACACACACACACACACACACACACACACACACACACACACACACATCCTACAAATTAAAAGCACCAGCAGGGTTCAGACTTTTATTGTTGAAGCTCTTTGAGAGGAAACAGGTGGAGTAGAAAATGTAAACATACAGGCCTACTCAGTAGGCGGAGCACGTGAACACATGTTCACCAACATGCGTGTAAACAATATGTACAAACTACGGGATTCATATTTACACCACGAGGCGACCTTTGACCCCGCACGGTAAACATTTCTGCAGTCCGATGCTGTCAGTCTGAGGTCAAAGGTCAACACATGCTGGAGCTGTGGGGGGAGGGCAGCTCCGCCTGGGGGCTCGCCATCGGTGAGGAGCAGGAGGGGGAGTAGAGGTGGGGGGACGGCGAGGAGCTGTAGATGTGTGACAACGAGGAGGAGGAGGAGGTGAAGCAGGGGGAGGAGCTGTGTGCGGGGGAGGAGTATGTGGGGGGTGTGGTGATGGTGGCGGTGGAGGCAGAGCTACTGTTGTTTTTGCGCTCGCGCTGCCTCTGGTGGATCTTGGCGTGCCTCTTGCGCTCATCGCTGCGGGCGAACTTACGTCCGCACTCAGCGCAAGCAAACGGCTTCTCGCCGGTGTGAGTGCGGATGTGCGTGGTCAGGTGGTCGCTGCGGCTGAAGCTGCGCATGCAGATGCGGCACTGGAATGGCTTCTGACCCGTGTGCACGCGCACGTGGCGCGTCACCTCGTCGGACCGGGAGAAGCGGCGGTCGCAGCCTTCAGCGGGGCAGGCGTATGGCCGCTCGTGAGGCGGCGTTTTGCACTGGCGGCCAGTGGCAAACTTCCTGGGTCTGCCAGATTTGGTGAGCTGCGCGTTGTAGGCGGGGCCAGGAGGCTGGATCTGGATCTGCGAGGAGAAGGCTTTGATGGTGGAGAGTGGCGTGAGTGGGGGCGGCTTCTGATCCACGTTTACGCCCGGCTCGGCATCCAACTGCTGCGGCAGAAGGTAGTCTGGCAACATCGTCACCAGCGAGGACGGCTGCAGGCCGAGACGGGACGCAGCAGCGGCGGTGTAGGCGGGAGGCGGACCCTGCTGCGGCGAGAAGGCCAGAGGGGCTGGCTGACAGTCTGTGGCCGGGAGGAGTGGCTCGGCGCCGGCTGAGGTGTAGGTCGGTATCGCCGAGAAGACCGAGGTGATTTCAGCGGAGCCGCAGGTCACCTGGATGGAACTGATGGTCGAATGGGATGGCGATGATGATGTCACTGACGGTGAAGAGACAGGAAGGCTGGAGGCAGTGGGCGGAGCCGCCACGCCGACCAACAGGCTTAGGAGAGACTCCGCCCACAGATTATTGCTGCCACAGGTCGACACAGACGGCTCAAAGGAGAAGCGGCCGCTGTACGCCAGCGAGGGCAGGCGGGGCGTCAGTGGGAGGAGGCTCTGTAGGTCTGGGAGGTCCGAGAGGGAATCTGAGGGGAAGAAGGAGGCGCACAGGTGAGAACACGTCACAGCACACCTGGGAGTCTTATTTATTGGTTCATTAGGAAGCACCCTTTGACCTCCGTACGGTGGCCCGATTGGTCCATGAGCTCTGCCATGGTGCAGGGAAAGCTCACCTGTGGCTCTCCCAGCTGCAGGTGTGAGCCACAGGTGAGCACGAGCTCAGCTTTACTGACAAACATTTAAATCACAATAAAACACTCTCGTGCAACTTTGCAGTCGGTAATGCGAGCTGCAGCATGCGCGCGCACGCGTGCGACACAGATAAACGGGTGACCGGCTCCTCACCTCCGTACTCTCCGGATTCTCCGCTCAGCTGCCCGGCTCCCTCGGCCCCGGAGGCGGCCAGCAGCAGCATCTGCAACTCCTCCAGCTTCGGGTATCCGTCCAGTGGGGACAGCGGCGGCGGTAGACCAGGTAGCGGCTCCGGCAGCAGAGCCCTTGTGGCCGCCATGTCCCTGTGGGGGGAGCTCCTCGGCTCCCGGAGCTCCTTCGCTGCTGAGCCCCGCGGAGAGGCGCTCTGTCCGGGCGGAAGCTGCCGCTCGCGGGACGCCAACGCTGGAGGTGAGACTCTACCGGAGGGTCACCGGCGCAGGTGAGGCCGCTGCGTCATCAGAGGATGTAAACAACATCAGCTGTTTGTTTCTGGCTGTCGCGAGCGCACAGCCTGAACTCGGTGCTGTCAGGTCCTCTCGGAGGATTCCCGCCTTTATAAAGACTCCTGCGTGACGTAGATTCCCAAATATGGCGGGTCGGAAGCCCATATTTGGTCCGAACGGGGCGCGTGCTCCCGCGGCCGTCCGCGGTCCCGGCGCTCCTTGTCCCGCGCTTTCAGGAGCGCCCACGGTTCCGTCCGGTCCGGGGCTCGGCCTGGCCGCGTACCCGCCGGACCGAGCCCGAAACGCGGCGCACGGCCAGACGCCATGGCCGGAAACCCCGGAGACACGTCACGGCTCCGCGCTGTGTTTGAAGGCTTGAGGTCACGTGGAGCGCTTCCAGCCGCGTCATCACTTCCTCCTGCCTTATTTGGGTGGTTTCCTGTGAGCGCGGCCCCGAGCCGCTCTCACCCGCGTGCACGGCCGGGAACAGCGTGAAAACAAACCGGCACGTGCGACAACAGCGCTCTATGTACGAGGAATGGACAGAACATTAGGAACAGCTCCGTACAGGGAAACGCAGCAGCTGCAGTTCCGCTGGCCGCCAGCAGGGCTCCAGCACACACCTGAGCTGTGTCCGAAGCAGTTCCGGTCTCCGAGCTTACATTTATTTTTGTACAAACACAATAAAACGTTCAGTAAAAACAACCACAGCCCTCACCTGCTGAGGCCCAAAGGCACACCGGCAGTCATTAGAGTCACAGTAGAAAAAACATCTCCACATCTGAGACTTCTAAGAGGAGCGTGGCAGGAGAACAAACCGTCCTACCGTAAGTAGTTCATGCACATTCCTGCTGTCACAGAGTAATTCCAGAACAAGTTTAAGTAGGTATGACGGTTTGCCACTTAACTTTGCCCATCAGTACAGAACAGCTGGCACAGGTGAGGATGAACTCAGGTGTCAAGGATGGGTGTTGATGATGTCACAGAGTGTTCACAGGGAGGCGTGGCTTCTCCAGGAGCAGGTCTGTCTTTAATAAACGGCCGGTGTTGCTGCTGCAGGTTTAAACTCACTCAACCTGAAAGTAATGAAACGTCAGCGAGCGCCATCGGGTCACCTGACCATCGTTGTTCCAGTCTGTGAAAGATGTCCGGTCACA